TGTATGTCCCTATATTTCACTTTTCCGCCAAAACTACACATCGCACGTGAATGGTGTTTGTATGTGGTAGTAGCCCCAAGTCTCCATTCGTGCACCAGGGTGGTTACGTCTCGATAGCTATAAGGGTGCGGGAGATATGAGGCTGAAAGTAGTTGAAAGTGGCTTTCTATTTCGAATGTTTTGTTCGAATTAAAATATTTAAAATTCGAATACTGTATTGGTTCGATTATAGAACGATCGTAAACGTTCCAGAAACGTTGAAAATAGTTCGTCTGACTGGACGTGAACAGGAGACGTTCAGAAATAGAATCGGGACCAGGTCTCTAATTAGTCTGGAAACGGAGACCTAATTCTTGCATTCTGTGAAAACGGGTAAGATTGCCTATAATGTAATTATCTTAATCTTCACTATCGTTACTTTTTGCCCACAAATAAAAACCCAGCGTAGCGGGTCCTTGCAGCTAGTACATAATAAAAGTAAAATATGATTGAGATAAAGAAAAATAACTATATTAACTGAACTTTATTTATTACTTTTAGGTTAAACAAGTTTGGTAATTCGATCGCTTTCCAATTAGGTTGTTTATTTGTTTCGACGATGAATAATTCTAACATAATGGCGCTAGATGATCGAAGCAATCAGTGGCGTACCGTGGGTGTCAGCCGCCCGGGGCGGATGAAAATTTCGCCCCCCTTATTTAGGTATTTCAATTTAAAAAACCAAAATTCAGTTTTGTCACAGAAGAAGCAATGAAAAATTCGGTGCTAGTGCAGCGACCTGTTTAAAATAGTTCTATTGGATATTAGAGGTGTATATGAACGCGAATAAATCGTACAAGCAAAAAAATAAATAAATAAATAAAAGGTCAACAGGTTTCGCAGGAACTCTTCGGATGAATTTACTAGTTCACCCGGACGGTGAGCCGATTCCCGGACTGTCCGGACGATAGCACTATCGTAGTCGCAATGCAAGTATAGATTAGGATTAGGATGTTTCAAATTCTTACAAGGTATTATTATTATTTATTGTGAAATTTTGCCGCCCCCTAAAAAGTGTCGCCCGGGGCGGGCAGCCCATGCTGCCCCCACTACGGGTACACCACTGGAAGCAATAAAAAGTACGAACTTTCCACAGGCACGGCCGGAGGTCGAGTGGTTAAGGTATCGGCCTATTGCTGCGGAAACCCCGGAAACAAAATCCGGATAGATCAAAAAGCGTCAGGAAATTTTCTGGTGGTGGTCCGTCCCTGATGTGTCGAGCGATATCCCTCCTCACCCAGCTTGATAAAAAGGTTCTCTTAGTGTTCACAAAACTGAAAGAGTATAAAAAAAGCCCTCTGCACTGGAAAGTACTCGAATTCGAATCCGAAAAATCTTTAAAATTTTTGTATACTGTATGGGACTACGGACTGACTCAGAATATGTCGGATCCACGTCCTTCGTTACCCGGCCACTCTCATTGTTCACTTTCCCAAACAGATACGGTATGGAGAGACATTTTCCTGCACCTGTTCGGCCTAATAAACAGTCCAAACAGATATACAGGGTTCAGCTTAGAGGTTGTTTAATAGGAGAAACATTTATATGTCACGTAAATCCAAATAACCTGACCACGAATATTGGTTGGACGGCATTAAATATTTTGTAACGATTAAACTTCGTTTACACATTGCTTTTTCTAGCCGCGCCGGAGAACGCGACCGTTGTTGCATTTTGCAAAATCTGAGTGTTTTCACGGTTGTACAGATCGTGTGACGTATAAAATATAAACAATTATATAATACGAGTAACAATGGTAACAACATAGCCGATTTTAAACTGTTTTGATCTCATTTCATGTGTTGCTGAAAGAAAACAAGAAAAAATAAATAAATAAATAAAAAGCTTTTTCTCATGACTCTATTCAAAAGCAAGTTGCAGTTTCTAGAAAGAAATGCGCATTGATTCTTACTACAATGAATGAAATAATAGAATTCCAATCAAACAAGTGATCCTGTTATACTATTATCTACGACACTATAATCCGAGGATATCCTGCGCAACCTGTTGACCTTTTTTTTTTTTTTGCTTGTACGATTCATTCGTATTCATATACATCACCACTATCCAATAGAGCTATTTTAAACAGGTCGCTGCACTAGCACGGGATTTTTTATTGCTTCTTCTGTGACAAAACTGAATTTTAGTCTTTTAAGGGGCGAAATTTTCCTCCGCCCGGGGCTGCTGACACCCACGCTACGCTACTGGCAGAGCCGGCCCTACCATAGGGCGAACAGAGCAGCCGCTCCAGGCGCTAAATTTTAGGTGGCGCCTCAGTGTTAATGAAAAGTAAAGGGTATAAATTAGGGGCCACCAAAGGGGCGCCATAATAGGATCTCGCTCCATCCTTAAACTTGCCTCAGGCCGGCACTGGCCACTGGTGCCAGTTACCCTTAAAAAATCCTCCCGAAAAGCATTTCTTCTCTAGGCAGATCGCCCAAGTGTTCCGTTGCCGTAACTTATCAAACAATTCATTAAAAACGAAACTAAGGTGACAGCACTGCCAATTTGCTTTGTATCGCATAATTACAGATAGCTCAGCGAAAGAAAGAGTAGACGTGAGTCAGCCTGAGGTTTTTTTTTTTTTTTTAAGTTTTTCCCGCCTTGTGGGAACTAAGAAGACCGCTATTTGCAAGCCCATTATGGATTCGGCTAGACCCACAATGGGGCGATTGGGTGGTGAGGGACGGGGTCCGACATATCTGGACGGAGGGGATTAGTTGGCCCCTCGAAAAATTCCTGGGGATTAGTTGACCCGTCCGGATTCGATTCCGGGTCCCCCAGAGCAGTCGGCTGCCACTTTGACCGCTCGGCCATCTGGCCGTCAAAAGTCAGCCTGAGCTGGAAAGGTTCTAAATCGTTCTCGGAATACAGTTTGTCATGCTCTGTGTTGATCACATTACACCCGGAGGCGTGTTTACTTATTTTGCTTACAAGTGGATCTTATTTTTCCGTTTTATCTAGATTGTTTCTTCATATCCAAAAAAACCTCTCTTGTTTCCGTGTTGGACAGGTTTCCAGTTTATAGTAGAATATGTTAAATCTGTGCTTACCCCATGATGTAAAACATGAGAAATAAAATTTCTATCGGCGACAGCTACTTTTTTTAAAATTTTTTCAACTTTAATTTCCTATATCAGCTATTAGAAATTAATACTATTTAATAAAAAAATTTCTAGCTTTATGTAATAAAAAAATACATTATGGCTACTTTTGGGCGATTTACTTCGTCCTCTCGTAAGTAAACGTTATTGGCGAGTGTTATGGAAGCCGTGTGAATTTACGTGCGGCTAGTGATAATATCAAATATAATTTAAAATAAATATATTTGTATTGAATGTATAATGACTACTTTTGACAAGAGTCCAATAGCTCGATGGGCTTATCCAGTGATTGTAGGAGGCTTATGTTTTGGATCGATGGCACTTCACAATTATCTGGCCAAAAGACCTCTTTATTCAGGTAATATTTTAAAAATGTTTCAAAATAAAGAATATTTATAAGATATATTTCGAAAATAGTGACAGCCCATAGTCCATATTTGGCTATTATACGCGAATTCTCATAAAAAATAAGCATTTTTTATTTTGCTATGACTCAAGTTGTTTCAAAGGTTAAAGTGTACCTAGGTAACCCCAATGTCGGCGCTTCGGACTGTTCGTGCTCCCGACGGACTCCTCCCGGAGGGGAGCCGTCGCGTGTTTAATTAACTGGTTAAAGTCCAGATGCGTATACCGTCATGGCGGCTCATCTCTGATTCCAGCAAACAAAAGAAAGGAAACAGTGGGAACGCACGTTCTAACCTAACCTAACCTAACCTAACCTATTCTAATAAATTACCATAATTATTACCAACCAAATTATTAGAATATGTTAGGTTAGGTTAGGTTAGAATGTGCATCCCCACTGTTTCCTTTTGTTTGCTGGAATCAGAGATGAGCCGCCATGAAGGTACAAGCATTTGGACTTTAACCAATTAGCGTTACTAATTATTGATTCACGGTAGTTCTTGAACAAAATAAAAACAAAGGAAATGTCTACTAAAAATATAGTTAATGTAACGGAACCTAACCGAATCACTGCCATTGGGGTTATCTAGGTATAATTTAACCGTAACGGGTTACTAATATCCAGCATATTACTTGAAGATGATTAAACTGAAACATGCTTTGTTACTACGGTTTAGCAATGGCCAGCAGACTCAACAGTTGTAACTGAGCAAATTGGTAGGTGTTATGTAGCTACTGGATCGACTGAACAATGAGTGACGTTGCATTTGAACAAAAAGCCTCATTGGTTAGTTTCGGGTAGCAATAGGTAGCATAAATGAAAGATGCTACCAAATGTGACGTCAAAACACTAAATGTGTTCAGAAAAAGCGCTACTACTGTAGAAGGCGTTTGGCAAAAAAATACTCGACAGCTTCGAAACTATTGAGTCTGCTGAACACAGCCAATGGTTTTTGTAAGATTTACAGTTCTTTTGAATGAATCAAACTGGGCCGAGTTACGTCTTGAATTTTCTATTGGCTTTGCTACTTGCACAAAATCTGTTTGTTTGAAAAGATGGTGTCTTTTTGTAGCATTTTAATATGAAGAAAACAAACTTTATATAATAATTATATTGTTGGAATACAATTATACTTAAAAAAGTTGATATCTATTTGAATTATTGATGATTGATCTATGGCATTGCTGTGTCACTTGCTACACTTTCAACAAAGTAAAATGTTGACATTATTAGGTTAAAACATTTTGAAAAGAATTATATAACTACTGTATATGGTGTATATTGTTATTTATGTACAGCATATTTCTTTATTTCACAATTGCCATTCTAATACTAGTGCTAGTTTTGTTTGTCGGCTCTTCTGGTAGACTTCGTGAATACAATATATTGAAACACATTCAAGAAAGTGTTATGGCAGCAGTCAGTGATTTATTTGTTTATTAATGATGCCTGTGATCACTTGTTAAACATCAACTATTTTGTAAAAAGCTAAGGATAACAGTAGCAACACACAGAAAAACTAATTTAAAAAAAAATAAACCACATCCCAAATGCATTTTAAAAAATAGATTCACAATGGATCCTTCAAGTGCCTATAGTATAATGCTTTAATTCATTTTGTACAATTGTGTAGATTAAAAGATACATTGAAAAATTGTAAAAGTGTGTGAAACTGTTTAAATTATAAATATTATAAAATATTGTGAGAAAATGTAATTATAAGAAAACTGTATTATTTTTACATAATTTATATCTTTTTATTTCTTTCTGTATGAAAAAGAATATAATTTTGTTTCATATGAAAAATACTATTCTGTCAAACTAGACTTTGGCAATAGTAAACATATTCCATGAATAAAATAATTTATAAATAAACAAGAAATTTTGTTTGTTTATGATGCTGCCATACTGTTGCATCTGTATGAGACAATTTAGACACATGTTCAGATTTGCAGTGTTGTTGAATTTCATCTTTTTATCTCTCAACTTTTGTTCAAGAAATTTATCTTTTTATTTATATACTTTCCTACAAACGTGTTTCATCACAAGTTGTAAACTTCCACAAATTATCTTACTACTTTATTTCAAACAATCAAAAGTATAGTTTAGCAAACAAGTCAGTGACATCACTGCTTACAGACTAAGCTGCCATCAAAAACATTACAACACAGTTAACTGTGCATTCAGTTATTTCTATTTTGGAAATAGTAAATTATTAAAACTAGGACATCATGTGACTTTGTTGTATTGCAATAGAAATGAGTCAGAGCTGGAAAGAAAGAGGTAATTCATGTATGTACCTGACAGATGAGGACAGGTGAACTTCATACTTTACATCACAATAGAGGCTATTGTTATACCTATATATATATGGCTAGAACATTTGGCATCAGAGGCAAACTTAAATATGGCACCTTTTGGATAAGCCTTTCGTTAGTGTGTTACAAATTTTAAAATTATAAAATCACTTTTTATTAATATAATGAACATTACATTTCATAACATAATTTTTCACTCTGTGACAGTTTTATATAAATTTATTAGTTTGCCCATGTAACAATTTTGGAATTTTGACGCCTCATCATCATGGCACTTTGGATATTTTCCTTTTCTGTTCCCGGCCTTTCCACAACTCTGCTTATACTTTCCAGCCATGGGAGAGGCAATCCTTGTAGCTGTCAGCCATGAGAAAGAGAATCCTTGCAATGGCCAGGTATGGAGGGATCGTCCTTGCACATGCTGACACAGAAAAGCAATCCAAGAACAAAACAATTGTCATTGATTGATTTGTTCTTGTTTTGTTTGCTTTTCATGCCTATTTTCTGTTTGATGCACACAATGCTGTTTTTACTTTTCTTTTCTAAATTTTATTAGGTACGCTCAATGACATCAGGGAGCATGAACATTGTCATTTTCACTCCATTGTACATCAAAAATGAAGTCATGGACCCCTATTTTTTGCATTTAAATGGACTCTCATTATATTTTTGGATTCCTCGTTGCAATTAATGGAAAATGGCATTAAAGTTTCATCAAGATTGATTGATTGATCAAATCTTGAGATTGAACGCAATATTGTGAGAGCCCAGACTTGACAAGAAATTTTAGTCAAAAATTTTTCAAAAGAGAAAAATCAGAGGATGATTAAAACTTTTCTCACAAGCTTGTTTCCTTGTTTGAGGTGACACATCGAATGGTTCACCCGGAACTGATGATTGAAATTCAACAATTGGACTGTTGTATGATAATTCCTAATTAAGTCGTGGGAAAAACCCACGAGAGACCTCCGAATACGAAAAGAAGGGAGTTCGCTTTTAACTGGTGTTTGTGCCCGATCCAGTTTCAGATACTACTTAAGCTGTTGCCAATCCTCTACCCTTCTCAAGACATCCAAAGACTTTCATCCTTCTCCAGTCATCAAAGCTGCTTCTGAACCACCTGGCGGACCAACAGAACATCAATCTGCCGATTATACAATTCCCCAAGGAACCAACTTCTCTCGGTTAGGGACTATAATTGATATCTAAAATTAGCACTTTGCTAGGCATCTTAACTATGTACTGAATTGTAAAATAGTATCAATAAATAAATGCGTATTGTGAATTGTTAAAATTAGCCAATGTTAGCCATTTAGAAGAGATTTCACTAATGCTCCACCTCAATAATTTAATTATTAAGAATATGTGATTTAAATAATAATATGCAATTGGCTAAAACTGGCTAAGCAGCAGTGTTACCATTTAATTATTATTTTCTCAATCAAATACTGATAATTTACATTATCACTTTTAATGTAAAACCTAATGATGCATGGATATTTTGAACTTACTTAAAAAGTCTTATTAATTCTTATCTGTTTTTAATGTTTTTAAGAAATACAATTATTACCTCTTGAAATATTTCTTAACTTGTAAACATTTCTAAAAAATACAATAAAACAAATCTATACAGACATATATAAATTTGCAATCACTGTTTTCATTGCTCAGTATATTCTTAACAGTTCTTGCTGGATATGTCTTTAACTCAAATACCTTAGCTAGTCTAATATATCATATTTCATTATATAGTCACGTATACCATTTATATATACAGATATTTCATTTATAATTCTATATATTTTCACTTCTTTATTGTCAGTATAAACACATTTTAACATTGATCATCATTTGTTTTAATTTTTAAAATTAATTTTATAAATGGAAAAATATCAAAAAGCATAGAACATGAATAAACTCTTTTGTGATAATGGTATTTGTGTTAAATTGAAAATATTTCCTTTTATTATTAGACATTGATGAGTAATTTCAATATTATTAGTATTATGGTACTTAGTTATGTTGTTTTATTTAATTATTACATATTTTTTATTATTAATATGAATTTAGCAAAAAAAGGAATATGAATTTTTTTTGTCTTATTTTTATAATAGAAAATACTTTTTACAGTAATTTTCTTATTCTTCTTTCTGATCTTCATTTTTTAAAAGATTGTTAATTTATAAATGCTTAGATTCAACTTTTTTTTAATAGAAAAGGTTTTCTTTTTCTTTCAGGTATACATAGACATATAATTAGTGGAATTTTAGGAGCAGGTGTTGGTGAAGGATTGAATCACTATTTAGATTATAAGGCATCTAGAAGAGATACAGTTTTAATACATTATATGGAACTTCATCCAGAAGATTTTCAACCAGAAGGTATTAATATATTTTATATAAAACACTTTATTTTTTTTATTTAAAAATTAAAAATTATTCACAGACAACAGACGCGGTAGCAAACTGGGAGTATGAGTTGCCGAGTGGGGGAAGGGTGAGTCAGTTAGACTCGAGTCAAAATGAGGGATGGTATTTGGGTGTTGGTGGACACACTGAAGCAAAGCACCTTTACAAATGAAGCCTGTTTATTTGAAAATAAACTGGTAGTTTACAATTTCATACAAAGGATGCTCTATTCAAACTATGATCCTAGAGTTCAATTTGTTTTTGACAAAGTCCCTTGATGTGTTGGTGGCCCCAGGGCAGTGTTATCATCAAGTCCAGAGACAGGACTGGGAATGGCTATTCTGAGGATGGATGACGATGCCGGCAATTCTGTAAGGAAAGATGCAACAGCACTTCAGTGACAGAGACAATGATAACAAGATACAAGCACAGAAAAGGGGATGGATGCACAGTGTCACTCACAAACTTGGGAGAGGGAAATCTGCTACTTGTCTTTGAAATACAAGGTTTTTAAAGGATGACTTTCTTCCCAAATGTCATGCTTCAGTTGGTCCTGATTTCCTCTTGTTGCTTCCTGATTATTTACCATCTGATCTGGTCACGAGAAAGGTTGATGTTTGGTATTCAACTTGACACTGTATCTTGACTGATTGATAGATGTTGATGCTCATATTTTAGATTGTTATGGTTCCCATTCTGACATCTAGGAATTTTAACTACAACATCTGATGTTTTGTCTTTTGTTTCACAGTCAAAATATTTTCAGGGTAAACTGGGGGTAATACAATTACATAAGGAAACACACCTTTTGTTTTCCACCAGTAGTTTAATATAATAAAAATGTTATTAAATAATTGTTTGGAACATTATATTTAAACTTCAAAGAATTCTATTTAAAAGTGTTCAATCATGAGGATGGCTGTGTAGATAGCCGAAAACATGAGATAAATTAAAAATAATTGAAGGTCTAGGCTATTTCTTTATGAATAAAAATGTTTTTTACCTATTCAGTTAGGACTAATGAATTGAAAATAAAAATAGCGTTTTGAGATTAAAATTGAACAAAATACAAATTTACAAAATCTGTGGTTCTAAATGTAAATGAATCTAATATAAAATTTAAATAGAGAAAATAAAACTCGATAATTAAATTCTAACTTTTAAAATAAACAAAAAGTTTTTTTTTTAATTTATGTTATTGTTATATGAGCATCTGAGTCGAAGTTTAAACTCTCTGGTCTGACATTGATTTAGATACTAGCATACATGTTTGAGTTGTACTTTGGGCTTACATTGTTTTTATGTTTGCATTGCTTCATGTCATATTTCTTTTAAATATATATATTTATAGTGCGTTTAACACGAGGTTCAAATTCTATCTGGAACCTCACAGAAGAAACTGGTTTCTCAGCATGACAGAACAAACCGTAACCCAAATTAAATAGAAAAATGTAATAAAATTACAAACATATAAATAAATTAGAAGTACACAAATATTTAAACTATGTAATTACAAAAGAATAGATAACTAAAATTGTAAAACTGACATATGCAATTATCTAAATACAGGGTGTATCAGAATGACGTTTTAAAAATTTGGGGGATTGTAGAGGATGAAATTTTGAATGTTTTGATATAAGGAACCCATAACTGGAAATGTGATATAAAGTTTCTACAGCGGTAGGAATTGCTTGATCGCCCTTTACTCTGGTAACTACCCTTCCGTCCATTGACGTCATGTTGTTCTTGACTTCTTCCTCTGAGGTTATGTAAAGTCCCTTGTGTAGGCAACACCTGTAGGAACAGTTCATGAGCTTATGGAGTGCATCTTTACAGCATTTAATTAAATTAATTAATAGTATCAGAGGGGAGTGTGGCATCTTACTGAGAGTCAGGCAAAACTTGGTTTGTCATTGCACATTATGTAACGAAGTTGGTGGTCGTCACATTGAACATTTACTGTAAAGTAGTGCAGCCACTGATTCTATATACAGTTTGATTGTACTCTACTGTTTTGTCAATAAAACTTGTCACAAATACTGTATTCTGCTGTTTCATTCAGCATACCGACTGCAAAGTGCTGTAGAAACTTTCTATTACATTTCCAGCTATGGGTTCCTTATATCAAAACGTTCAAAATTTCATCCTCTACAATCCCCCAAATTTTTAAAATGTCATTCTGATACACCCTGTCTATAAAATTACTTGTCCTGACTGAGTGATTGACTGATTGATTCATCATCGCCCAGAGCAAATCGCTGAACTTAGAGGTGAAATTTTGTACACAGTTAGGGTATGACATGAAAATGCACCTAAGAAGGGATTTTTTTAAATTCCCTGGCAGGGGAGAGAGAAAGGATTAAGGCTTAACCTGAAGAATGGCTTCTACTGTAATATTTTAGATGCGATTTTTTGTTTTCAATTACGTTTAGTTTTCATTGTTACATACTTAGGTTGTATTAAATTAATAACATTTCAGACATTGTTATAAATATTTTTATATATTTAGATTTTTTAACCAAATGTTCGAACCATTTTAAATTCAAATATGTTATTGCATATTGGTTCAATTATAGAATGATTGTAAATGTTCCAGATAATTAATCACATTGAAAATAATTTGTTTGATTCTCAGCAATTCTCATCATTCTCAGCGGTAGGTGTCATATAACAATTACTATGATTGTTGAAATACTGAATATAAATGGGGTTTGCTTGCAAAATCCGCACGGGCGAAGTTGTGGTAACAGCTAGTATAATTATAAATACATTAAAATACTTATTTTTTAGATTTTAGGATGAATTAATAACTCATGAATAACTTCCAAAACAAAAAATAACTGGAAAATTAGTAGAGGAAATATTTAGTTTTTTATATAATTTCATAAAATAATCAAATATACACTGATATAATTCTTGTTGAACCTTGAATAATTAAAAANTTCAAATTTGTTATTGCATATTGGTTCAATTATAGAATGATTGTAAATGTTCCAGATAATTAATCACATTGAAAATAATTTGTTTGATTCTCAGCAATTCTCATCATTCTCAGCGGTAGGTGTCATATAACAATTACTATGATTGTTGAAATACTGAATATAAATGGGGTTTGCTTGCAAAATCCGCACGGGCGAAGTTGTGGTAACAGCTAGTATAATTATAAATACATTAAAATACTTATTTTTTAGATTTTAGGATGAATTAATAACTCATGAATAACTTCCAAAACAAAAAATAACGGGAAAATTAGTAGAGGAAATATTTAGTTTTTTATATAATTTCATAAAATAATCAAATATACACTGATATAATTCTTGTTGAACCTTGAATAATTAAAAAAGCACTTTTTATCAGACTTACTTTTTAATGAGCCAATAGGGTAAAAAAATGGGTCATATCATTGATTGTATCCAGTGTAATAATCAAGAAGTTATTATTTCAGTTCTTTGTATCTCCTAAACAGCAGATACCACATGAAGTTTGAATAATTAGATTCAAACATTAAGTGTATTTTCAGTTTAATTATAAACAAACTGATAACCAAACAATTCTTGCTAAAGATAGACAGCTTTCCTATAGGCATGTCTCTGAACTTATACTATAGCAAGTTACTTTGTGACTATTCACTTGTCACTACAGTTGCAATTAATTTTCAACTCTTTCCATTTTGTGACACTGAGAAGGCTTTTGTTTTCCTATGCCATTATGGGTTTGGTCAAGCTCACAATGAGAGCTGGGTAGTGAGGGATAGTGTGTGATTAATGATCAGAAATGATTTTTTTAAAATTAAATTTTAAAAAATTCATTTCTAATCATTAATCTTAGCATAAGATTGTGGAATAACGTCTTACCTTGCTAAACCATATTTTGCAGTTTGATTAATTAACAGATATGGTAGTATGATCCAAAACCATTATACATAAGTTTTATTTATTATTATTTGTATTATAAAATCATGTCATTTTAAAAATTGCCCAAAATAAAAGTTTGTAAATCATTACTGCACTATATTTATAAATAGAATTTTGAAACTACAGTGTGTATTGTCATTTATTACTGAAGTTAATATATGAAAGATTTATGTTAATTTTTTTTTTCTTTACAGAAAAGACATTTTATAAAGATGTTTTGCAACCATGGACACCAATTCGTTGAGATTTTGAAATTATGTTCATGTTTGTTTACATTAGAAAAAATAATTGCTATAAGAATGGTAGATGGAAGATAAGTAGTGTATATTAATTTGATGCAAAATATAATTATGTAAATAGTTAAATGAGGAAATAAAATTTCAAAAAATTCTTTGTTTTGCATGAAAATATACAATAACAACTAAATAAAGTCAATGCATAAGTTCAGATCAGCTAATTGTAAAACAGATTTAAATTTTTAATTATTAAAATTATATTAAAAATATATAAAATTTGATAAAACTTCGATAAAATCTTAGCTTTCTCTTTTGCTTTCCCAACTTCATACTAGGTGAAATGTTAAAAACAATATACTGATATTAAAAAATACTTTAAATCCATTAGTTTGTTATTTTTGAGGTGAAATGTTTAAAAGTATTTTTTTAATACCAGTTTATTGTTTTTAACATTTCACCTCAGATGAAGAGTCAGGAAAGCAAGAGAGATAACTAAGATTTTATCGAAGTTTTATCAAATTTTATATATTTTTAATATAATTTTAATAATAAAAAACTCAACTTTGGTAAAAAAAANAACTATCGGGTCTAAAAACTTAGATTTTAAACTCAAACCTTTCTCGTTATGAGCAGGAACATTGATAGAGCGGCGAGAAACAAATATCAAATATTCATTAAAATATATATAAAAAAGAGTTAAGAGTAATTGCTCTTATCCTTTTTTTAATAGATTAAATTTTTAAATTGCTGCAACTTACATTTATTGAAACGAATGACAAATATTGTTTATATTGTTAATTTTTAAAAAACTTCATTTATTTTTAGTGCAATTTTTTAAACTCTTCTTTATCAAATGAAAAAAATTTATTGTTATTGGCAGCTATTATGTCAATAACAATAAATTTTTATAGAGGTTAATGTGTTATTTACAGTTGTTATGTCAATAACACATTAACTACTATAAATTTTAAGAATTTATTGTTCTTATAGGTCATGAAGAGCAATAAAATCTTTAGAGAGCAGAATATATTGTCTAAAAGCCATGTACACAAGCAACAAGTCAAACTGGTCAAACTATTGATAACAATAAGCATTATTATCATCAATAGTTTGACCAGTTATCTCTTTCGATTGTCAAGTTTGAAAAAGATGGTTGATAGAACAGATCACTGATATTGATAGTTGCCTTAATTTTGCCACTTGTTTGCATTGGCCTTAATTCATCTAACAATTACATTGCAATAGTAAAATATCGACATTGTTACTGACCATTTTGAAAACAAGTGTTCGTTGATCCTTTAATAATAATAGTATGATAGACTTCAGAAGTTTGAGATTCACCCAATGTGATTTATGCCATTCTGGCATCACTGATATCAAATTGTTTCAACAACAATACTATCAAATTTGGCAAATTATGATTTAATTGTCACAAATACTCTAACTTTAAACAGACACTTAATTGTATCAGACTATAAACTTGTAAAGCAGTTAGACAAGTGAAATTTTTTGCATTTTATTTCTAAAAATATGTATATTTTTATGANACCATAGATATTCGATTATTTCTTAACTACTTATTTTAAATGTTTGCATGATATATAACGTGAACTAAATTAAATGGTGTATGGCGAATACGAATCTTATAAAATAATTATTGCTTAGAAATTTATTGTAACACTTCCTAATAGCGCTTAATATAAACGGAAAGGGAGTGGTTAAAGAATGTAACACACTGATTTTAACATAATGTCTAAAGACACTCCCTAAATTGATTTCTGGGTGCGTCCCTGCCCCAATATCGTTATAAAACAGCAATACGTGATAGATCACAAGAATAAGCGACAGTTTCCTAGATCACATCTCTTAGTCTCATTTTTTTAAAATTATCAAATTTTATTAATTCCTAATTTAAGATAAAAGATTTACTTCCTTAGATATCCAATAATAACAATATTTTATTTATACATTCCTTTCAGAGTTAGTTTTTACTTTCCCTACTGTTATACATAGCGGAGGGAAAGTATAAATTTTGGACTGTGAATCTTGAAATATTGAAAAATACAAAAAATTTAGGGGTTTTTTTTTCCAGAAATTTTGCCAGGAGATTTGTTTTAGGGTGATTGATGCTATTAAATTTTAGTTAAAGATGAAAGGAGAGATAGGAGGATCATGTTCATATCCTGAGTGGGATCGGACTTAGATTTTACTCATTAGCATTTACGTTTATTTTTTTAATATAAAACCTATCTCTATTCTCAAAATTAACTTTTTGCCATTTTATAATATAAAAATAAAATATAACAAACGACACTACACATTTTAACTTTTTTGCAGGGAAAGTTAGGCAACTCGTTGCTGGATTTTTAAAATTAAGCTAAGAATTGATCTGATAGTATTAGTATTTAGAATAAGGTGGGCCTAACATGTTACCCATGGGCGTAGCCAGAGTTTTGTTATGGGGGGCCTAGTAGAGGCCAACCTAACACAAAATTGAATTTATTTCAAATTATTGTTCGTTAAATGAAAATTCCATGATAATCGACGATAACTGAACACACATGAAATATGTAACCTCCTCTAATCATAACATTGGACACGGGGAGCCATTGACCATTTTTTTTTTTTCTTTAGTATTCAAAGTTTCTAGCGTTAAGTTTTTCGTACTTTTTGCAAATCGACTCAACACTTTCGGCTGTGATTTTCTGGGGGGCACCAGGTTCATTGGAGGGGGCCGTGCCCACCCAGGCACCCTTGCTACGCCCATGATGTTACCTAGTTTGAGTTCCTGGTTGCTACTGTTGCATTTCACTTTATTTTTGGCTGATATTTGAATTAGGCCAATCAGAAGGCAAAATGATGTGCTTTTCTTTACATTAGGTCAAGGCTTCTTAAACTATGGGTCGCTTAGCAAAATCTTGGAATTGCGAGATTTTAATGCAAAATATTGAAAATAATTTGTGAGAGTAAAAATGGCACCCTTTGTGTCATAGGTTTCGTGAGTTGCGCTTTGTGTCACTTCTAGTGCAGCGAGACAATTCAGCAACACTAGTGTGAACTAGTGTAGTGTTGCTTTTCAGTGTATTCAGTTGTCTCTGTTCCATTGTAACACAAGAGTGAACTGTGATAGTACACATTGTTTTTGCAAATTTATATATATCTTTATTTTATATTTTTTTGGGTAGCGAAATAAATCATAAACAATCGTAAATGGGGTCGTGAATAAAAAAAGTTTAAGAAGCCCTGCATTAGGTGATAATTTATTCTAAACTGATTATAGTTATGCTGAAAGAAGAAAAAAAAATTGGTCATTTATAGCGTCTGTCCACTTCTGATTCTACAGTTGTGTACTTTACATAATGATTAGGCTAATCCAGCTTTGGTCATTTTATTTCATGTATACTTCAGCTTAATTTTAAATACAGATTAAACAATTAAGAAAAAAGTTACTTGTGTCCATTCGTCAATATAAAAACATTTGGATCTAGGTTAGAGATTTACAAGAGAAAAAATATTTGATATTGGTATATTTTTGTTAAGACATTTTAAAAATTGGTCCCAATGAACACGTGAGAAAAGATTAAAAAATTTAAATAGAAATCTTTTGTTCTATAGTTGATACAGTTCATTTTAAACTGTGACTTGTGGGCAATTAGTGAGCCTTTTAATCATACCATATTATGGATGGAGTTGTAATTAAAACACCTCATAATAGGGGCGGCCAGATGGTGAAAAACAAGGCCTGACATTCCGGGACATAAAGAATTCCTGGGATTCTCTACCTGAATTCGATTCTAACTGCTGCCTAGTGTAGCATGCTGATGTCTTTACAACATCTGCTATCAGGATAGATCCGAGCCGAATCCGATCCAGACCTCTAATTTACCATGAGTAATAAACACGAACTGGGGTCTCGTTCCTTCTTTCTCACTCCATTGTAAATCAGGCCCATTCGTAATGGGCATAGATGTGATTGATCGGATGGCCTTACAAAGTGTGATTGATCGGATGGCCTTGCGTTAATTATTACATAATTATTAATCAATTAATCAAAAACTGAAATTCAATTCTTTTAAATTAAGTACTAACATTAACCATAGATATTCGATTATTTCTTAACTACTTATTTTAAATGTTTGCATGATATATAACGTGAACTAAATTAAATGGTGTATGGCGAATACGAATCTTATAAAATAATTATTGCTTAGAAATTTATTGTAACACTTCCTAATAGCGCTTAATATAAACGGAAAGGGAGTGGTTAAAGAATGTAACACACTGATTTTAACATAATGTGTAAAGACACTCCCTAAATTGATTTCTGGGTGCGTCCCTGCCCCAATATCGTTATAAAACAGCAATACGTGATAGATCACAAGAATAAGCGACAGTTTCCTAGATCACATCTCTTAGTCTCATTTATTAATATTTTAGTCATTTATAATGTAACTAGTCGTGTAACTATGAACCTATTTTGCCAAATCTTCACGGGTTTTTGCAAAATCTCCACGTTTTGAGATCTTAACCCAAAAAAGACGAAAAAAAAAATTCCGTGCGTGCGTGCAAACGTGTGCATTGACGTCTATTTCGTTTAATATCTCAGGATGATGAAACGCGATTTGGCATGATAACTTGTGTATAAGGGGCATTGATGCTATTAAATTTTAGTGGTTAAAGGTCGAGAGGGTGAGGAGATAAAGACGTGCGATGTGTCATATCTCGAGAGGGATCGGACTTAAATGATTTTACTCGTTATTAACATTTATAATTTTTTTGACACTCATTACTATCCTCAAAATTATGCCTTTTGTCATTTTATAATAATTAAAAATATAAAAAGTTTTTATAACAAAATCTCATAACAGATGGCGACATACACGATTTTATTTATTATAATTAAAGATATATTGCAAAAGTTGTTGGATTTTAATTAAATATTATCATATTTATTGATGATATTGTTAAACCATTTTTTACAAAACAGGTACTACAATACTAATGCGCCCAGAAAGTATTTGGTGGCCCGCTTACATACATACAAATTATAGAAATATGTATGTATGTAAGCAGACCCTCACCAAATTATAAACTCCCTTATATCGAAAGTTTACTATCTTCTTCTTCTTCTTTCCTTCTCTGATATGGAGATTCTGGCTGTCCGGTTGTCATTATATCAAGAGTCAATTTCTATATAAATATGTATTACATAGATTCTTGACGATAATGACTGTCCGATATAGAGAACAATTTGTTGATTCTTGCTATTTTTTATGTAGAAATATAGAGTGAATTTTTCATCGAATTAATGATTTAGCTGTCTGTTAAGAGTCCGGATTATTCAAACACTTTATAACTTTGAAAACAAAATTTTAAACAGATTTACAGAATCAGTTGAGACATTTATTTGTAGCAAAACACGTCAGATTTGTCTAACATAGTGAAGAAATGTGACATCGAATTGAGAAAGACTAGACATTATCTTCAGTGATGATTTAATGTTTCATCTCAGTGGTAAAGTTTCACTTTACCACTGAGATGAAACATTGAGATGAAACACTGACTTGTGAGATGAAATCCTGCAGTTGTGGATTGAACATCCTCAACTACAGGATTTGGAGCTTCGAAAATCCACAAGCAACTATGAAAAATGTTAGTGACAGTTCAAAAATGAATGTATTTTGTGTTCTTATCAAACATAAAGTGTACGGCCCTTTCCTTCTCCATGAAGGAACCATGGACGATATCGTGTACAGTACTTATATCTGGGATTTCTTCAATAATGTCTCCCATGTCTGTGGATTATTTGAGCATGGTCGATAACATGCCACTTCGTTCCCCAGATTTGACACCTCTCGATTTTTTTCCCTGGAGTTTCATTAAAAATGTAGTGTTTATTCCGCCCTTGCCTACCCAAAACCTCGACTCGTCACATTTACTGAATCAATGTACTGTACACCTCGTTAGATTTGCTGCTTTGAGTTTGGCAAGAAATTGAATTCAAGTGAGATGTCTGCCGTATCGCCAATAGTGCCCATATCAAACCAAGATCTATAAACTGTCTGAAATAAACGTGATGTGTTTTACTATAAATTAATGCATCTAACGATTTTGAAAGTCTTCTGATTAAAATTCTGTATGTTTTCAAAGTTGTAAAGTTCTTTCTGAATTACCCCGCATATAAATTTAAAAAAAGAAAACATTATACACGCGAACTTTATTAAAATTTTAAAATAAGTAAAATTCGATTATAATCGCGTGAAAGGCTTTTTATTTTTAAATTTAAAATGTCATAGTGATACAATTCTCCGCATACAATAATAGTGAATACATTTGCACAAGGACTCAGATCGAAAGAGACCCGATTAACTTCTGTGATAGTCCATGCACTCCATGATAAGAAAAAAGATTGGTAATTTATTCAGATGCAGGACTTATTTTATATTCTTTTTTTTAAACTTAAATATACTGTACCTTTACAGTAAACAAACATTAAAAAGAAGTACTGTACTTACTTTTTAATACCTAGTATGTTGATTTCGTGTCGAAGTATACAAAGATTTAAAAAAAAAAAAAAACGAATCAAAACTGTTGGAAGAAAATTTATTTCTTAATTTAAAAATTATTTTTACAAGTTATTATGTAGTTTACACCATAATTTGAATATAATGTATTTTTATTGCTACTATGCTTCTGGTTCGTTATTTTCTTCTTCTCCAACTTCTTCTTCTGCTTCTTCGAAATCTTCGTCTGGAGTAGAGTCCAATTTTGGCAAACTTCTTACGGTTGCTATTTTTTTAATTGGCCCCTTCTTCGGGTCGATTACTCGTTGATCAGGTAATATATTCCTATAATAATCGATAGGTAAATAAGTTTCACCATCGAAATTCTACTGTAATGCATTGTATGCAAATGAGCATTGTAGTATGATAGTTTACTTAGATCAAAACTGGACTAAATTTGCGATGATTATTTTTAAATAAGAAAAAAAAACATATGAAAGAAAAGTGAATAAAAGAAACGAAATCAATCTGTACATATCTATCTAGCTATATAATATTAATAATAATAATGTCTGCCATGGAGTGTCAATCGTGGGCTTGAAAGGCATGGCAAACATCCGTACGACCTGGCCCAGAATTCTGTTGACAAAACTGCATCAAACAGCTGGTTAGCTCGGGTTGCCTGTTTGGGGAGACGAAACGCTTTATGATTGCCATACAAGATCAGGTCATAAATACTAAAAACTACAGAAAACATATACTCAAAGATACAACACTCACAAATGACACATGGAGAAAACGTCACATCGTGCTAGAAACTATACAACACATCACTTCCGGTTGCAAGCTCTTGGCACAAACAGATTATTTACATAGACATAATCAAGTAGCAAATATAATATACCAAGAGCTTGCAAAGAAACAAATTATTAGGCATTCACGAACCATACTACAAATACGTCCCACAAACAGTATTGGAAAACACGCACAAAATGTACTACGACAGAGCCATAATCACAGATAAAACAATTAATGAGGAATATTAATTTATACAGTGTTTGATAAAAGTATGTAAATAAATTATTTACATACTTTTATGGATTTTCATTTTCATAATCCAAATTCATATAATAATAACACGATGATAAGTTGAAAAAAATCAATCTTGAAAATATAAATTTTTTTTCATATTCATTTTTCATTCACTTTATTGAATATTAATATTTTTACAGAAATATTGATTTTCTTCGCTGTATTAATAATTAAAATGTATTTCCTTATTCGTGAATAATTCAATTCTATTTCTTTAAACTAAAATTTATGAATAAATTAGTTTAAAATTAGGTATTAATAACATTTAAAAAAGCTATTAATTGAATTTTAATATATCCTAATTTATTTAAAATGTAGTTATAGATAGAATAACACGATTTTTTAATTTATTTTTAAATAAAGACTATGGTTAGCCGAATTTAACTTTGAAATTTATAAATATTTTAAAAAATATTCTCCAATTTTTTCAAATAAAAATATTCTATTTTATTAAAGAAAAAAAAACAAGTAAAATAATACTTTCGATTAACAGTAAGTGTTTTGTAATTCTTGGTACAATCCTGAAGAATCCAAGATCCTATCCATTTCGGATCTTCGGGGGTTGGCTTCTTCAATAGTTAAGTTTTCACTGTCTATTATGGTTGATTCTGTCACATGTCAGCTGACTAGTGGATTATTATGCCTATTATGGTTGATTCTGTCACATGTCAGCTGACTAGTATTTATGAATCATAACATTTAATACAGTCTACTGTATTAAATGTTATGATTCATAAATAAGAGAATGTCTCGTAGAGAAGTTTTTTATATTTCGCGTGAGTTCTTTTGTATACCTGTCATGAGTTTGGCCAGGACCACAGTATGCCCGTGAAGATGAGGACTAACGTGATTGATTGATTAAAGCTGGGTATCAGCATACCATGCTTCTGGCTGGCTACAGTTACGCACATTCATTACGTGACCAAATTGATCAATACAGATGAAAAACGGGAAACGATGCCTTGCACTCAAGATAAATTATTGGGGTGTTAGACCGGGCGGCAAGACATATCAGGCCAAATTACCCACGAAAATTTCTGAGAGTCCGACATAGATTAGAATTATGTTTCACAAGAACGGAAGTCTGACATGAATCACAGTATCCTAGTAGATTAAAATTTCGAATTTTAATAATGTTATTTGTTTTAAACAAAATGGAAAAACTTTGTTTTAAAATTCAGTTTTATTAGGATTTCTGGGAAATTAGGAAGAGCCACATAATTATAATATGGACATACTTTTCTTTCAGAATTTCATAGCTTAAATTAAGATAAACTGTAATTCGATATCTCCATAGCACTATATTATATCTACTTACAATGAAAAACTATCTCCAGTGAATCCAGAAGTACCTAAAGAAGAGTATCTAACTCAAAAATTAAAAATATTTGAATTAGTACTGTTTATTAACAGGTGCTCGTCAATTGTATTGAGAGCGGTCCGATAAACCATATTTGCCATCTTAAATGTTTAAAAACATTCTGAAGTTGTAATAAATAAATTTTGTTCTTGTGTCAATAGGAAGGCCCCTCTAGTCATTCCGTTATATCACAGTCATCACCATCATAAGCGACGTTGACGGTATTATCATAAATAATAATTTTAAGCTTATTAAATTAAAAATATTAGAACTTGCGCACCGTAAAAATTGTTTCGTATATACAAGGTGGCCCAAAAGTCAGTTAATCTAGATATTACTATTTTAAATATCTTGGTCACAACAGCTTACTTAAGATCCATTCACACTATCATTCTAATTGGAAAAATGAAATTATAACAAAACTAACAATAACTTATAAAATTGCATATTATATTTGCATGCATCAATTTAAGTGCATGCAATTAGAGAAATTATCAAGTTTACGAGGCGAACGACCTTACACGTTTAATTATTCAAGTACTGTACGTTCTTTTTGTCTGTTCATTCGTGACACCGACAAAAGTTAACCAACAATATGTCATAAAATCGTTTAGTAGAAAGCTTACAAGAAATTTTTTATCATTGAAAATCACATAAATTAATTTACTAAAATTATTATTCTATAAAGAATTAAATCATGTAGAAGTTATTTCCTATCGCAAATCCTTTCTCAGAAGTTACACCCAGTGTTTGTAATGGTATAGAATTCACAAACACGTTTTGATTAATAGTGAATGATTGATTTGAATTTACAAAATTCATTTTAAATTTTAATCTAGATAAAAATTTTTATAAGAAAATGCATTTTAAAAAACTTTTTTATTGAAACTTCTTAATAATATGAATATTGGCTTCAAGACTGAACAAGGCTGATCTGTCGTCGTAGACCTAAGTTTTAACATTATATATGTATATATAATGTTAATATACATATATGTGTATATATAGGGCATGTTATATGTTTTTAAACTCCATCCTGTACACAATAATAAAGTTTACATTAGGATTAGGGTGAGAGAGTTAATATAAGTATCTAAACTATAGGTATGGCTTGTTTAGCTTGTGTAAATCTGGTCCCGTGTTTTTCAATCATACAAAATTATTTTTTTTACTCAAGTTAGTAGAGTTTCGTGGTATTTATTGGAAGGTTTTGATAAAGTTTGTCATGATTTAATATGGTGTAAAAATTAATAAATATTTTAATTTATTCAGTGGTTAAACGAATGTCGGAAGCACCACTCACGCTTCCAAAGTGTACAGAAACAGAAAGTAGAATAATTTGTCACGCAATTCGAGCGCTAATTTTTCATTTAGAATCAGTAAAAATCAAATTTTGGAAAATGCACCATTTAAGACCAAAATTCTCTTGTTCGAATACTTTATTTTTTCAATTGCTTGTAGAACTATTTGCAATTACTGAAGTAATTGTAAACAATATGGTTAACTGGCTTTTGAACCACAGTATATTTAAATTCGTGAATAAAATATTTTGAAACATTTTATTAGTTTTCGCGGTGGAAAAAGAATCTAAGGACCGTTCTATCGACATTTTATATAAAATATAAAAGGTTGGATTACATTGGATTGATGGGATAAGGCAGCACAAAACATGGGCAATCTGCCCAGGAGGACTTTTATGGTAAATTGGTTCTATTTAGGCGTTCGCATGTAAACAAAGCCCAGAAAACACACGGTCAGTCCGTTGACAAGCGTGAAACTACAACTACCAGTGTTCAGTAATGCTATCCAATCGGCCACTGGTGAACATGTGTAGAAAGTATTTGCTTGGATATACGCTATCCAATTTCCAAAATGGACTTCGTAGAATTTCTTTATTTAATATGAAATTGTAATTATGCAAATAACAGATTAAACACGATAAGATGCTTTAACAAATTACAATATAATAATTATGAATTCTTATTAAGTATTCATTAAAAAAAGTTCTTCAAAATACATTTTAATGATGAGGTACCTTTTATAAGCCCTATTCAGAGAAATAACTCCTTAAAAATGTAATATAAATGTTACGAGCAATTATTTATTGTGACATCGTCACAATGCCTGGATGCAATTTTTAATCATGTTTTTAATTTATTTTAAAATATATGCTCTCCACCTCAAATTAGTACTGTATTGACTTGCCCCTGTATATCATACTTTTCCGTTAGCAATGGAATCGTGCAATGCAGTCATCCATCTCGCTCCTTTCAGGGAAAATTTTAAACTTGAAATAACGTGACTTCCGGTTTGCATTGGAAGTACAGTACTTACATAGTTAATTGGGGCCTGTTTTTCGTTTTTTTCCGTATCAAATTTCTTTATGATTTTTTCAAATAAAATTTATCTGTTTTATTTTATTAAGAAGAATGACTCATACTCAATGTTTCTTCATTACTGTTTCCATGTCGACTGTTTGTTTATTTAAAAAAGAATTCGAAATGAAACTTGATTGTGAAGACATAAGAAATCTTTTATACATCCAGTTTAAAAATAGATGCAGAGTAGTGATAGTGGCACGAAAGATTAACAAATTGCTTGGTTATGCAACTATGAAAGATCGTCAGCTCGAAATTTGTTTAAGCAATTTCGTGAGGGTCTCAATTCTTGCGTTCACAAAAAGAGAATTAGTGGACCTCTGATAGTTAGCACGAGAATCCTGGCTCAATGACTCAGGCGGATAAAATATTGTATGACAACAGAATTATCACAGGATGTCTGTTCAAGAATGATAGCCTGGCGCTGGCTGAAAAAACTTGGAGAAAACAAAAACAAAAACGCTGTTTCACATGAGTTAACACCGTAAATGAACCAACATCTTGTCAATGTTTGTCAACAACAACTCCGTCGCCATCGAAAAGGACGATTTCACAGCCAAATCAACTCATCTACGAAGCCAGTACGATGATCGAGTACGACGAGTCCAGTGGCTGAAGGTGAATGAGATGGCAGATCCAATACCGAAACTGGACAGTTATGGCATGGAAACGGACGTTCTATCTTCTGGTCAATGCAAGGTGTAGTTTATTGAGTGCTTCTTCCTCTTGGTAGCACCATAAATAGCGAAGTCTGTTTTCACTTGGACAGTACAAACGTTTCTGTTCGACCAGTATACAGAAGGGAGCCATAATGAAAGTGTTCCGTCAGGATAACGCACATCCTTATGTTTCACATACGAAGTGTAATAAAATCATTCATGATCTCGGATGGGAAATAATTGGTTACTCGCCTTACAGTCCAGACATTTCTCCCTCAGACTATCACTTATTTTGTTCTCTAAAAAATTTTCTTCGAGGGAAAAATTCACCACAGATGAAGTGGATTTTGCAGTGGAAGCGTTTTTCTGCTCAGAACATGAAAAATATTTTTTAAGAGATGACTCGAAATGTGATCGAAAATAACGGGGAATATATAATCTCATAATATGTTATATTGTAAAAATTTTTCATTCTTTTAAACAAAAACAGGCAAATATCAATAAATACGTTATAATCCTATATATCTATTTATATTGCATTATTAGAACCAGATACACACGCCTGAAACGACCTTTCTGGTAAACCAAAGTATATTTAATACTGTATATAAAAGAGTGGAAACTTTATAAATTAAAAATTCAGCAATACCAAAACTTACAGATATTTTAAATGTCTCGGGCATTTTTGAAGCGAACCAGTTTCGGCAGATTCGACACTCTTCAGTCTGTTCCTCATGGCTTCCAGATTCATCATAACCTCCGTAATCTCGGTCATGTAAGCGTTACGCGTATCGTTATACTTATGAAACGTCTACGGGAATAAAATAATCCTTAAATATTCTGTCCTTACGGTATTTTTACGTATGTATGCACGTATTTGCGGAGGAAGAAAGAATGACTCTTTCATACCTTGGATTCCTTATCCAGTTTCCATTCTGTATCACGTAATTCGTTATATAAAGCGTTACGATCTTTCTCCAATTGTCGGAGATAACGTAGGAGTTGGTTCTACGAATAAACATTACTTACAATTTAAAAGCCTCTTGAATTTTTAAATTTAAAATGTGTTAATTAACGCTCACCTCACTTAAACTATCCAAATCGAGATCGGCTAAAAGAGCTGTAACACCTATTAGATTTAAATGGCAAAGATACGAGTAAAAGATACTACTTTATCTACGTAATACTTAAATTTACTTTACCTTCGTGGCTTTGGTTTCTCGACGTCTCCACTTTGCTTTTCAACCAATCTTTCTGTTGTTGCAATTGATTATTCACTTCCATTTGTGTATAATATCGCACTTTCCATTCGTCTTCTAATCAGAAATATTAAGATAAATACGTGTTTGATAAATTATACAGAAAACTAAAATATATGGTAGTCTATGGAATATAAAATCAGAAGATGGACTTTATAAGGGAAATAATTCAAATTCAAATAAGAAAGACAGTTATGCGATAAGAAGACGACAAATATAAATAAACATCATCCTGTAAAAACAGCATGGTAATGATCATCCATTCTACTGCTATATACGGCGATTGCATTACAATACAAACAAAGGTTAAACAAATGCAAAAAACCAATAAATGTGTGACAAAATATTAATTATTTTCATTTCCGATTTTGGAAATTAATAGATACAAATGAGAGAGAATAATGCTTTTTTTTTAACATAAAAAAAATCTTTTTAGTCTTGAATACCGCATTAAAATATTCACATACATTCAAAGAGGTCGATTTTTGTCATTATATTTGAATTAAAACAGAAAAACATTTAAAAACAGGACAGGAAAATTATCTTGTTCTTTAAAAGATTTCAATATTGTGATGCAAGGAGCTCTTCTACGTCACAGTTTGACGACTTGAAGAAGTTTCGATAAAGAAAATCAATTGAATAATCTGATTCAATCTCTCTAATTTCATCGGAAAATCAGTATATTAACTCCTATTAATAGTTTATAGTCACAATAGATAATATTAATAAACTAATATTTAAAGGAGTAGAAGAATTAATTAATTATTTAATTATTTGAATTTTGTTTTATACAGTTTATGGATTATACAAAATTCTTGATACTGAATCAAATCACTTCTACAAATACTGAAAATAAAATCACCAGTCAGATTATATTTAGTACTCGTCAAATTACCTTTGTACAAAAAAAAATCCTTTAGAAACTGATAACATAGGAGTTTATCATCGTTATAAGTTATCATTCGTATATAACGTTTGCCATTCCATAGAGGACAATTTGATTCGGGCTCCAATTACGCAGGGGGCCTCCAAAATTTAGTATTTTATGCACAAACATGATACGAAAGCCATTAAAAAGAATTTATGTCTGATTAGTCCCGATCCTATCCCACTTATGACACACGAGTTGGCTTAAAAGTCAGTTAACCGTGTTGTTTAAGAGTACTGAAATTATATCAGAGCATTGTAAATTACGTACAGTACGTTTACAGAACAAGAAGAATCTCGTTTTGGACACTTTTTTATAAAGTTTAAAATCAAAATTTTTTCCAATACGATAACAATTTAGTCTTACAATAGTTAACTGACTTTTGGGCCACCCAGTATTTTATTTCAAATTTCAAAGCGTGTGTGACACGTATAATTCCACACACTTTCCCATTACATAAATCGATATATCAAATATTTCAATAAAAACGCAACAGTTCGCAATCTTAAAATAACCCTCATACACTACACGATAAAATATAATATATATTAACTTGAATATTCAACATATAGGGGATAGTAACGTGTGTTACATCCGTGTATAAAGTCGACATCAATTATTCTATCAAGTGATTTTTTTTCCGGTGTTGTCCTGGTGTTACCATGGTTATTCCAACGTTTGACGCCGATAGCATTTGCCACCCTCGGTTCACGATTATAAAAGTTTTATCTAGAAAATGATAGCTTTAGCTCGAAATCCAATATTCCATGATGGATGAAGAATATATATATTTTAAATTTTGACAGTGATAAATTTGCGGTTTTGAGAATTTTGTCACGATAGATTTTTGAAATTATCGATTGTCATAATTCGTGTCGGTGTATCCTATTCATTTAAGTGTGCAATGAGAATCAAACAACTGTTATGGGTCTATAATATGTATATTTGTATTTTTTTTTTTTTAATTTTTCAAAAATAAATGTTATGAGGACTGTTGTCTATTTTGTGAATTGAATTTATATTTAAAATATATCATATACATATATAATTTATTTAAGAAAAATTTTTAAAGAATGTTTGGACTAAAATTTTGTAAAAATACAGATAAATATTTTGGAATTTCTAAACTATTTTTGTAAATTGAATTCCAAGAGAAAACTCTCTCAGGTGTAGGCCTTTCTACTTTTGAATATACAGAAGTTTTAAATGGTCCATGAAAAACAGGAATTTTTATTCTTAAATCGTGTATATTATCTTATATTTTAACTAGAGCATCTTATATTCTATGTAATATTGCAAATTCTGGTACAAGGAACCTTAGTTAAAGCCTGTTTTACACATAAAATAAACAAGCTACAGCTTAAGGCCTATTCTATCAGGATATAAACTTAATACTATTGGTGGAGGATGCCATTTAAATGTTATAGTTTAGGGCCTTAGAGGCCAGGGATAGATTTAGACTTGTTCAGACTCTAAAATTATAGGAAATAGTCAGGAGTTGTGCCAGTATATGGATAGATTGTTGAAGAAAATTGTGGTATTGTCTACATTCTCTGAAATTTCTTTCGTTAAAATAAAAAAAATATATAGCCTAAATAAGCAGATATGTCTGGTACTGTCTGGGAGAAATGTTATAAGGAAAACATTAAACTGAAAGCTATATTAAAGTTTGGTTATTTAGTTTACTATTGTTAATGTTTATCATAAAGTGTCAAGGGAATAAAGATGGAGAAGGGTGAGGTGCCCAGGTTTCAACGTCACAATCGCACTTTTAAATTCTATTTTGTGTATTTTATAGATAAAAATAACGAAAATTCGTTATAAGATCAACATAAAATACGGATGTAAAGTAGAATATTTTTACAAAACCTGAAGCTTACCTTCTCCAATATCTGCATTTTCAAGATCTTGTTCCAGTGTCAGTAAAGTCTCTTGCAATTCCGCTATAGATATATCCAACATCTCTCTATATCAAACAGAAAAAAAAAAAAAGCTATCATTAAAGAAAATCAAACTGTTAAAGAGGACATTAACCTTACTACATTATATCGATTCCTTTATTTTCTAGTTAATCAATAGTAATAATTGGAAACTATGGAACCCTCAATGGAAGAATAGGTTCAACAATCGATCATACTTCACGTGGGTTAACGGAATTAAAGTTTATAATTCCAATGGAATGTATATAGGACTGTATACATGATTATACAAAATACTCTAGCACCTTTGACTCTAGTGTCCGTGAGATGAAAGATCACGATTTAGGTTGTGTCATGCCTTTATCGCGTTCCTAGAGTCTAAACCATAAAGACTGTCATATCACGTTTCCAGGGTCGGGTCGATGAGTTTGGAATGCGTTTTCTGTAAATTAGATTGATTACAAGGTTTAGAAACTCGTTAGTAAATTGGATTTGGTCCAAGCGAATTAGAAAAATAACAAAGTGTAGTTAAGCAATGTAAAAAAAAAAATTTAATGATGGCCTTGCAAAGCTTGTTACCATCGTGATCTTACTGAGAATTTTAAAATATTTTCAACAGTGTCAATAAATTAAAGTGGTTTTCATAACGTATGCAGCGTATTGAATGTACAAACTGCCTAAGTTACATAATACGAATGTAAGCATCGCATTTTATATAACATTTGCCATGTAATGGCTACTGCAAGCGAAACTTCTATCAGAAGAATGCCAACTTAATTATTGTTTACTTTGTAATGGTTATAAATAATATTATAAGAACAATTTTTGATCACTGTACTCATAATTCGTAAAGAAATTATTGAAAATACAACTCACTTCATCTGTTCCTCCGTTTCGACTTCGGCTCTCAAGTCTGCCAGGTCCTTTTCGGCTTCTTTGTAAAGCATTCTGTTTCGGTTTCCTTGCCTTCTGGAGTACATGGTTGCTATGAAACGGGGGTTGTTACTCTCTTCCTTTTTATTGGCATCGACTAGCGGCGAGTAAACGAATTAAAATACTAGCCATCGTTCCAATTGTGTATATTTTTAAACTTCTCCATAAGATATATCGATATTTAAAGATATTAAGAACGAGTTCTTAATCTGTAGACTATTTAAAGATTCATGTAAATGCAATTGATGTAACATTGAAAATGGAGCAATAGTTACTATATAAAAAGTGAGTGATATATAGGGGTAAGTCGAATCTGAGTAATTATAGAAGAGATGCTGTTTTTCTGGAATGAACCGGATCTTGGTAGCTAGACAGGTGAGGTGATGCTCTTTTCGCCTGTTCTTGATCGCTGAATATCCAGTGATCCTGAAGCAATCCCGCTTGGAAAAATCAGGTTTGAACACAGGATTTATGCAGGATTGCGATGTTTGTTATTTCGATTTTTTTCGGTTAAACCATTTATAGCGCAAGCATCAAGCATTTATAATTAAAAATTATAAATGCTTGATGCTTATAACTGACTAACGTATGATTAATAATTATTTGATGCTTGATTAATAAGACATGAAATAATTGAAATTATAGTTTTCTTGTTCCGAACTTCATCAAAGGTGTTCAAACTTTGTAACTTGTTCAAATATTGTAACTTAATACTTAGTCATGTTCTAAATAATAAATTTAATAAGGAAAAATACACTTAACTCTTGAATTTAATGGGGAAAAATGAAAATTTATTTGTAGAGAATCCTCTCTAAATCTATAAGAACTCATCATAAAAAAAAGAAAGAAAAAAAAAAAAAAAGAGAGAAAACTGAATTGACTGACATGTTTAACAAAATGATAAAAACGAAAAATAAATTAAAGGAACTTTAAAATATAGGCCTATTTGTTTGTAATTTTCTATTTTATCGCCATATTTTCTTTAAAATTTCTTAGTTTTCATCAGTTTAGACCAGTGGTTCCCAAAGTGGGCGCTACGCGTCCTGTAGACGGCGAGTAAATCTAGGGGGAGCGAAAAGAAGCAAGTAGGCGGCAAGGGTGCTGGAGGTAGGGTACTAAAAAGTGACCATAAGCACAGGTTGGGTCACTGACAACCTTTCCCTTTCCTCTGTTAAACGAATTAAACAGAAACATTGCGTTTAATGGTTTCCAGATGTGAAAAAAATGCACGGTAAGGACACAAAGTGTGAGGTTCATAGTAAAGTTTTCTTAAGAATATTTCCAACCATTTCTCACACAAGGGAAAATAGGTTTGAGGCATTAGGGCATAACTTTATGGAACAAAGGGGAAGGGGTGTCGTGGATCGAAAAACTTTGGAAATCATTAGTTTAGAACATATGAAATCCACGAGAGCTCACTCACAATTATCATTGGCTGACTCAGATAGAGGGGGATAGCACGATAACCATTCGGCCTTGACCCCGGACACAGGAGGTTCCCAAATTAAGTCGTTTATGTAAAAAGTTGATACGAAAGTTATATTAAATTAAATTTTTTATTGGTTAACTGGTGAACTTATTATATTGGTTTTATTCATATATTTTATTATTTTCCTGGATGTTATAAGAGGGAAAGTAAGGAGATCTGGCAAAAAAATGGCCATTCCAAGATGTTTAATTTTTGGACTTAGGACAGCTTGAAACGCCGAGAAATGCAAAAGAATTCGGAGGTAATTTATGTATGTATGGATGTGTGCGTGCGTGGCACTATTTTGTTCACCCTGTTCGAAGCTTAATAATACCTGTGCTTTTTGTCGAAGATTTCTGAAATTTTGCAGAGAGGTTTGTTCATTAGGAGATTGATGCTATTAAATTTTGGTGGTTAACGGTCGAGGGTGAGTAGATAATGGAGATAGTGTGGATCCAGTAGGGTCAGACTTAATGACGATTTTACTCGTTATTAGCATTTACAATTATTCATAAAACTCGTCCCTACCCTCAAAATTAAGCTTATTGCCATTTTATAATAGTTAAAAAATATAAGAAGTTTTTAAATAAAATATGATAACAGATGGCTCCACAAAAATTTTAAAACTTGCCGGGAAAGATGAGCAACTCGTATTAAATTAATAATTTTTGTCTTAACGTGGCACCATTATTTTCTGGATCCACCAGCCATCTCTAAATGGAATCTTTTAAAAACTTCTATAGCTTCTAAAAACGTAATTAAGAATGGAAATATATTTTTACTAACAATTACGTGTTTGTACGATTTAATTTATAAATCAATTCACCTCTTCACATTGTAAGCGTTGTGTAAATTAATTGAATAATATTGTCAAATAAAATAGCTTTTAATCAATGAAGAGACAATGTAAATATTATAAAAATTCTATCTTTATTTTATTTTACTTTTGTTTATTATACAGTCAATTACTTTCATAACCGAAACAATAAAAAATAAATTTATTGATAGAGTTTATAATTAATCAGTGATCTTGACATTGCATACAGTTAGTTTGTCATAAATCGAGATGCCATTTATTAGAGTCAGTCTACAATCGGTGCGCCTTTATAAGTTGGTCGCAATTAGTATGTCTTATATCGGGGATGTCGTTATCTATTACTCGAGGTTGTCCACAATCAGTGCGTCTTTATTCGTTAGTCGCAATTGGTATTCCATAATCGTTGTCATTATACGTTAGTCAATTCATAAGTGGCACGTTTTGATCCAGGATGTGTGTCAAATTTGTGAAAAATACATTTGATATGTCCGGTATCATAATGTCAGTCCAGTAGATATAAGTCACAATCGGTGTTAGAAGTGTCATAAGTTGGATTTTTTAAATGATGATTGCCGAAATGCAGAATTTTAGAAATTTTGAAATAATCACGAAAGAAATTACATAAAAAAACGAATGAAAACGATGACGATGAATATGTACAAATGAAAATGATGATATATACAATGAACTATGTACAGCAGATCTGGTCTGCAAATTCGAACTTCTCCACAGGGAAGGAGTTCTGTCATGAAATTGCAACAATTAATTAAAATCAGAATAATTGGTAAAGATATATTATAATAAATAAGTTAAANTTATTTTCATTTCCGATTTTGGAAATTAATAGATACAAATGAGAGAGAATAATGCTTTTTTTTTTAACATAAAAAAAATCTTTTTAGTCTTGAATACCGCATTAAAATATTCACATACATTCAAAGAGGTCGATTTTTGTCATTATATTTGAATTAAAACAGAAAAACATTTAAAAACAGGACAGGAAAATTATCTTGTTCTTTAAAAGATTTCAATATTGTGATGCAAGGAGCTCTTCTACGTCACAGTTTGACGACTTGAAGAAGTTTCGATAAAGAAAATCAATTGAATAATCTGATTCAATCTCTCTAATTTCATCGGAAAATCAGTATATTAACTCCTATTAATAGTTTATAGTCACAATAGATAATATTAATAAACTAATATTTAAAGGAGTAGAAGAATTAATTAATTATTTAATTATTTGAATTTTGTTTTATACAGTTTATGGATTATACAAAATTCTTGATACTGAATCAAATCACTTCTACAAATACTGAAAATAAAATCACCAGTCAGATTATATTTAGTACTCGTCAAATTACCTTTGTACAAAAAAAAATCCTTTAGAAACTGATAACATAGGAGTTTATCATCGTTATAAGTTATCATTCGTATATAACGTTTGCCATTCCATAGAGGACAATTTGATTCGGGCTCCAATTACGCAGGGGGCCTCCAAAATTTAGTATTTTATGCACAAACATGATACGAAAGCCATTAAAAAGAATTTATGTCTGATTAGTCCCGATCCTATCCCACTTATGACACACGAGTTGGCTTAAAAGTCAGTTAACCGTGTTGTTTAAGAGTACTGAAATTATATCAGAGCATTGTAAATTACGTACAGTACGTTTACAGAACAAGAAGAATCTCGTTTTGGACACTTTTTTATAAAGTTTAAAATCAAAATTTTTTCCAATACGATAACAATTTAGTCTTACAATAGTTAACTGACTTTTGGGCCACCCAGTATTTTATTTCAAATTTCAAAGCGTGTGTGACACGTATAATTCCACACACTTTCCCGTTACATAAATCGATATATCAAATATTTCAATAAAAACGCAACAGTTCGCAATCTTAAAATAACCCTCATACACTACACGATAAAATATAATATATATTAACTTGAATATTCAACATATAGGGGATAGTAACGTGTGTTACATCCGTGTATAAAGTCGACATCAATTATTCTATCAAGTGATTTTTTTTCCGGTGTTGTCCTGGTGTTACCATGGTTATTCCAACGTTTGACGCCGATAGCATTTGCCACCCTCGGTTCACGATTATAAAAGTTTTATCTAGAAAATGATAGCTTTAGCTCGAAATCCAATATTCCATGATGGATGAAGAATATATATATTTTAAATTTTGACAGTGATAAATTTGCGGTTTTGAGAATTTTGTCACGATAGATTTTTGAAATTATCGATTGTCATAATTCGTGTCGGTGTATCCTATTCATTTAAGTGTGCAATGAGAATCAAACAACTGTTATGGGTCTATAATATGTATATTTGTATGTTTTTTTTTTAAATATTTTTAAAATCTTTTAAAATCTTCAATCTCATATATTAATCTTGAACTGGATTATTGTAAAATACATACAGAAATACCCTATTTCAGCAACTATTTTTTTATTTATTTAACGTTTTCGGCTATCTTTGAATCCATCATCAGGATCGAACACTTTTAAATAGAATTCTTTAAAGTTTAAATATAATGTTCCAAACAAGAATTGTTTAAAATATGTAATTGAAAGAGAAGAAATCAAGCGAAAACATTATAAATTGTGGACACAAGTAAACGTGTACAACAATAATGAAACTATACAGAGTAAAATAAATAAGTAAATAAAACGAAATATTTGCTTTAGCCTTTGGTATCATCATCCACTATTTAGAAGATACTTTCCAGCTTCTGATAAGCAAGCGGCATCC